GAGCATTCAGCTCTGCCTTTTTATCTGTTTGTAAGATTTTTTTCAGAGTAATTGGTAGATATTTGGTTAATCAAGAGAGAAAAAATATTCTGGAAGGTTTCTTGACATGCTGTGGATAAGGATATGTACAAACCCATATGTATATATACGGCTGTGTGTGCATGTGTAGATGTAGAGAGAGATGACTGATAGACCGACAGACAGTTCATGATAGAATCACAATTCATTTTTTATGCAGATATGTATACATAGGTATAACATTCCAAGGCTTCCTAAGACAGACTGCAGATTCTGAATCTTAAAATATATCAATAGACAGGAGAGTTAATTAGTAGAAAGGAGTAATCTCCCCTTCCATTTGCCATTTTCATTCAGGGGTATTTTTTCTTATTGTTTGCATACCACTGCCTTTGTACTTCGATTACAGCTACCCATTAATAAAAATGACAACAAAACTGAGCCCATTTCATCTGTGGGATGATATTCACAGTGTGTGCATTTCTGGCACATTGCAAAACATTGGAAATCCCTGGCCAGGTGTCATCAAGTGGAATGGAAAATATTCACCCAAGGGGTGTACTGTTAATCCAGCTGACTAAAGGTCTGTTTTTCTGTACTGAATTTTCTGCTGGAAATTTTCCAATGACGTGGTTTTTGCTTCCTGACCTGATGGGGAAGAGAACAACAACACAGAGTGAGAATACCGGAAGTCAGATGGCTGAAGTCAACCATTCATGGACAACTCAAGACTGAAACCTGTCTACAGAGATAACATGGCAAATTATCTGTAAATACTAACTTACTTTCCTGCCATGATGGCCATATCCCAATCCAGATAAAAGAAAACTGGACCCGTGTACGGAACCAGAAGCTTTTGCACGTTTTCTCTTGGTGTGACCACTGGTCTTGAGGGAGGTCAAGGTTTCCTGTTAGGATTTCACTCATAGTCTCATTTCAGACACTTCAGTGGCCTTTAGAAAACCATTCACTCTCCCTTCATTTCCCCAACCATAAAATAGTGACAAAATAAATAGGACTGCGTGCAGCAACTAAGTATATGAGAAGGTGTAAGCGGAAGGAACCTACAGCCCTTTCCTTCCTCTTCCATCCCTTCCCCACCCTCTGTGCCTGATCAGTCTGTACATAAATACATTTGCCTTTGCTGTTACCAGCTGTCCTTATGTGCATACAGCCAGCACATATGGATAGAGTTATTATCAAGGCAGTCA